AAATCTGTATAAAACTTCGAAATTCAGATTTTAGTTGTGGTGCATTATGCCAAAAGATAGGGTTGTGCTTATGAGCTTCACTTGAATTTGGGGAGGAGGAAATCAAAGTAATTAGAATTGGACTTTTGACTCAGATGGTGGTGAAAGATATGGGAGCGGGTGACACAGTTGCGGAAGAAGTGTGAGGCGGAGAATCTGGATGTGGGGGTGGGATGGAGTGTGGTGAGCAAAGGGTTGTTAGAATAGAAAGGCCTCCAGAAGTCAAAAAAAGGTTATTAGGATTGAAGACCAGTAACAAATTGGAGGGAAAATAAGGGAATTAAAAAGTGAGTTTGATTACAGAGGTTTAGATAGGGGTGGGCAAAACCCGATTGAACCCGCTCAAATCGCCCAAACCAAACCAACCCGACCGGGTTGGGTAGATTTTTTTGTTGTTTTTACATGGGTTGAGTGGGTTGGCTGTGTAGGCGAGTTGGGTTGGGTCAGATTATAGGTTAACTCAAGAAAATCTAATAAACCCGCCCAACCCAAGCCGCCACTTTTTTAAAAAAATGAAACTAAAAGAAATAAAATGTTTAGAAAAGTAAAAGAAACATAAAAAGTATGAGTAGATAGTGTAACTGTAATTACCTTGGTGTATTTTAGAGGATGAGCTTACTGATCTTCCTACAAGAAATGTAGTATAAGTTTTTCATGTTATGTTAAATGCATTTTGTTCTTTGTAGGTTCGGCTCATGAGGATTGAATAAGATAATAGATAATTTTATTTATTTATTTATTTACTTATTATTTAATCTTGTCTATTCGAATTTAGTCTAATAGAAAATTGGATGACTTTAATTTTTGTTGACAAGTCGTCCCCAAACCAACCAACCCAACCCAACCCGATCGATACTTGATTGGGTTGGATTAGGTTAAATTTTGATCAAACCGATCATATTGGGTTAGGTTTGGGTTGAGACAAAAACCGACCCAACCCAACCCATGCCCACCCCTAGGTTTAGTAGAAATTTGAGTTAAATGTTTGAATAGCCAATGAAATTTAGGCTATATCACGATTTATTCACCCAATTTTAGAAAGTTTTCCAGTTGTCACCGAACTTAGGTCCATTGCACTCTACCACTCACCCTGTTTCTTCTTCCATCCATACGGAAAAATGAGGTGGTTGTTAAATGCATATAGATGGTAAACTAAATGTCAAGGTGGCCTCCAACTTAGCAAATCGTGGTTTTCAGCCAAACATGCCTTACGCATTAAAATCAAACATTGTGAAATCAAAACATCTTCAATTTGGGGAAACTTTGAAATCTTGCAAGAAGAATTCTCACATGCTCAAAATCATTTGTAACGGACAATTCTCACACGCCCAAAATCATTTGTAATGGACCTAAGTTTAGTGACAACTAAAAAGCTTTTTAAAGTTGAGTGAGCAAGTGATGCAGGGGAAGATTATAGGAAAGACAAAAATTTACACAAAAAGAATTTCAACAAAGAGAAATTCAAG